AAACTGTGTCTCCACTGTGAGCCAGTACACTGTCCTGTGATTTCTGTGTGAACTCCCAGCAGCAGGAGCCCTTTAAACACTTTCCACTGGCTGATTTCCCCCTATTTAAATGTTCCCTCTGGGCAATAATACCCCTAATATAAATACAACAGCCTGCTGTACATTTGTGTTTACTGGCAGGGAGCATTATTAGGCCATAATTTAGCCACTGCTGACATGCTATTATTTACGCATATCGCATGATGAACGATTGACCCCTTGTGTTTTAATACAGATTGCTTTTTTGATTTAAAATCTATTCTTGTACAAATTAGGAACACAGATTTGTCTTTAGCCTTCAAGACTGAGCAATGTTTTTTCAGTAGAACAAAAAAAGACATTTTCAAAATTATTACTTCATATATAACTTGTACTGTAATTACTGTAAAGTCTGGTTACAGGTTACATGCATCCCAATTAGGCATGGGCCTGTATAAGATTCTGACGGTATGATAACCTTGAATTAAAATAGCACAGTTTCACAGTATTGTGATTACTGCTCTAAAACAGTGGTTCTCAAAGTGGGAATCGGGACCCTCTGGTGGGGTCGCTTGGTGATTTCCAAAAATCTCATATATTTTATTAAACTATTAGAACTATCATATTTTATCCATAACCTGCAGAATATAAAAACTAGGGCTAATTATTTTAACTTATAATATATTTAATATATACTTAACATTTAATAGTTACATAAAAAACATGCAAATAAAAAGTCATCAGCCTTTTAATTTGCTTTCCATTGAATTGCGACCCGAGGGGTTATTATGCTAGATTAACATCACAGCAATAGTGTTACCTGCAGCAGATTTTACGGTACAATGTTAAACTTTGACACCTTTATGGCACTCACATACATTTAAAAAAAAAAGGCCAAGACTGAACAAGAAGGACGATCTCCAAGTGGCTCCAAGTCTCCAAAATTAAACCAAGAATAGTCTTGTGCTATAAACATTGTGCTAACCATTCTCATTAAGTGAGATTAATATTAAATTAAACAATTCAATAGTGATTAAAAAGAATAGACTGTTGCACTTTTTGTGATGTCGATAAGCTTGTTTAAATAGTTCCTATTAGTGTATGTGCATCATTGTGTGCAATATTTGTATGCTTTTAAGTTATAACCACCTCTGAGAATAGAGGGGGTTGCGAGTCACTGATTTTGTTATTTAAGGGGTCGCGGGCTGAAAAGTTTAAGAGCTTCTGCTCTAAAATATGCTCTTTTGTTATGTCTGGGTAAAAAAAAACTATTTTTCCAACATTAAACACAATATATATATATTTTTTTTTAAAAACATTTTTAATATTTTAGAGCAGTAAACATAATTAAAATATTATAAATGATTGACTTCTGCTGTCTTCATTAGTTTTAAAAACACAGAATTTCTTTACAATTCTTTACAATTTGCCTGTTGGTGTATAAGTGATTTCAGATGTTTGCTGAATTGTGAAGGGTCCTATACTGATACTGTTGCACTAAAAAAAGCTAAATAAAATAGTTGTAAAAAACATTTAAAAAATGACATATACTATCAGAACAGTATAACAGAATTTTTTTGTGGTTTTAACATCTTGATTTTTTCAAAGCGCTGTAAACCTTGAAACCGGATATCCTCTCAGGTCTAATATTTAAGCCATGTGTACAAATTATGCACAGCTCAAACATGCACTTTGAATTGTTTAGTTTCTCTAAAAGATGTTAACACTAGCTGGGTTTCTATCTTAATGTGCAGTGAATCTTTTGAAAGTTCTAAAAAAAAAAAAATATCTCTAATGTGAATTAGGTGTTTCGACCGAGTTGTTAGAACAGCTGACTGTAGTATTGTTAACCTAGTAATCAGCAGTGAACAAAACAAGCATGAAGACAGCTGATTAGTCACATAGGTGTAATATTCGAGTTTCATTCTGCAAATGCTTTTCCATGCCCCATTATTTCTTCACGCAAGTCCAAAACCATCTCAAGTGATTTGTACTTTTTTGCAAATGAAGGAATTTTTTTCAAAATTGGCATTCACATCACTCTCTTCTCATGCGAAACACTGCTACTGAACTGCTACCAGACTACCAGAAACACAGCGACCCGACTGTTGTTTTTTATAGGTAAGAATCAGAAGAACAACAACAACTACAGCAACACTAGAAGACAGAATAATTGAATTTGACAAGTGTAGGCAAGGCCAGATTAACATAAGAGCAAGGTAGGGCTGAAGCCCAAGGCCCACGAAAGAAGGTGGCCCTTGATTGGCTGAAGAATTAATTTGCGCCATGACATAGGAAATACTTCTTTAAAAACAGTGACCCTGTCAAACTATGGCTCGAAGTGGCTGTATTTTGAGTAGCCCTGTTTTAGTCCCCAGTAAAGGTGACCAGATGTCCCTTTTTTCCCAGTAAAGTCTCTTATTTCCCAGTACAGTTCTTTATATCAGCTACACCGTGAGAACAGTCTGGTCAAAGGTAGGCTAACCAAGTGCATTGTAGAACAAAACTAAATGAACACAGTATTCGTTAATAAAGTGCAGTAAGTGAAGCCGCAGTCCTCACCTGCACGTCCACACAATCATGGCCTCTTAAAATATGACAGAGTTGGTCTGCAAACAAATCAACTAGCCTATGCACAGTTATCAAAAGTTCCATTGTTGTTGAGTATCTATCGCAAGAAAATAAGTCTAAAGTCTAACTGAACCAGTTAGAAAGCAAATTTTTAAATGTATGAATTTCCCCTTTTATAAAAGCGACAGTAATAAACCAGAGAAATAAAATATTGGAGCTGGCTTTCATCAGACAACATATCTGAGGCAAAAAAAACATGCTAACCTTCTGTAATTTACTGATGAAAGACCAATTGGGAAAGTAGAAGAATGGCTTTTAAAGATATTTTAGGAATTTCTGCCCAGCTAAAGTTGAAAGTAAAGTTTTTAAAGATAGCCCTATTTAAAGTATTTATTGTAAAGCAGTCATTTAGGAATTATTGCAAATGTGTTCGTTTGTTTTGTTTTTTTTTTTTTTTTTGCTGATTTTGGAAGCTTGTTAAAATTTATTTTATTTTACTATTTATTATGATAGGACAGTAGAGATTTCAAACAGGAAAGCATTGGGAGCAGAAGGATTGGCAAAGCACTTTGAACCTGGAATCGAACTTGGGTCGACGTGAGCACATTTGTACTATAACTATGGTTGTAAAGATAAGAAAGATTTAATTTTTCTTAACATGTATATACTGATTATTACAACAAATGTTTTCTGTAAAATAAATTAAATTGAAAGATAATGATTTCTGACTCCCCTGTCTTCAGCCAATATCTCTGAGAAACATGCTAGAAAAAAATAACTGAATCTCAGCGAATATTTGCATCACAAACTTGAGAGACTTATCTACCTAAAACTTAAAATAAAAACAAAATGTTTTCTGGGTTTGTAATCCATTTGAAATTAGCACAATGTAACGTGTCTCCCCCAACTAATCTATCTTTAAAAAAAAATCCCACTTTCTACCATTCAAAAACAAATCACATGACAGTCATGTAAACTTGCAAACATTCACAAAGTGGAGTTCTCAAGAAGTTGTATCATCTGGAAAAAGTTTCACATTCAAACATTATAAAGTTGCAATTACCTTGTTAGTCAGATCCTGAGTACAAAGATGTTTTATTGATCATCATTTTTGTAAAAAAAAAATTGTGGACTTGGCATATTATTGCATCATATATTGTTAGTTCACACAATCAGGCTTAAAGCTATTCTGTCAAAATGTCATATTTAAAGGCAAATGTATAGTGTATAGGGGTCAGCACAATCGCCTCACAGCAGGAAGATTGCTGATTCGAGTCCCAGCTTGGCCACTTGGCATTTATCTGTGGAGTTTGCCTGTTCTCCCAGGGTTGTCGTGGGTTTCCACGGAGTGCTCGGTTTCCCTCAAAGTCCAAAGACATGCAGGTGAACTGAATAAACTTAAAGGGCACCTATAGTGAAAAATCTACTTTTCAAGCTGTTTGTTCCCACTTGTTACATTGGGCGGGAATTTTAAACTAATTTTCATGTGAAGCAACACACCTAAAACAGCGAGCTGTGTACACGCCCCCAAAATGACACCTTTAACACATTATAATAAAAAAATCTGAATTTTTTAAACTGAACCTAAACTGGCACACTCAGAAGAACCAAAATATTAATATTAAATCTTACAAAAGGGGTAAACTATGTGCCCTTTAATGGCTGTAGTGTATGTGCGTAGAAGAAAGAGTGTATGGGTGTTTCCTAGTTGCAGCTGGAAGGGTATCCGCTGTGTAAAACATATGCTGGATAATTTGGCAGTACATTCTGCTGTGGTGACCCCTGATAAATAAAGAAACTGAAGCCGAAAGAAAATTAATGAATGAATGTATTGTGTATAATGTTTGTATTCTTATTGTGCACTTTACTGTACAATTAACCTTTTTTATTATTATTGTTTTTTTTTTGTGTGTGTGTGTGAGATGTGTGTTTTTAGAAACATTCTGTACTTCTATACCACAGAAATGTGCGTCATACCTGGCCAAGTGTGTGGTTTTGTGAACAATAAAAAAAATAATCCTTTTAGAAAAAGCTGTTCACTTCTAACATAATACAATCTATATAAATGAACATTAGGGATATTATACAAAAAAAAGCCATTGTCATTACAAGCCAAGCGAAATAATGAGCGGCCTGACAGAAAACGCATATGTAATCTCGTTTGAAAAAGAAGTCCGTGACAAGTTCTGAAATCACAGCACTCACTTTTAAATTACTACCCATGAAGGCCACCCTCTGACTGTGCGGAAGTGAGCAGCTTCAATTATAAATGCATAAATGCCGAGAGGAGCGTGAACATAAGGCACTTTTCATCATCAGCAGGCTTAGCTCTTGTTAAAAACAGAATTGATTCCCTAATTTATTTGGCCTTGTGATCGCTGACTGCTTCATCATCTGTGTTTTGAACTCACCTTGACTGAGATCTTGCCCTCGTCCTTTGGTAAGTGAGCGGCCAGGAACCAGTCTCCCGGGAGGGGGCTGGTGACATTGAACACCCCTGTGGTGCGGTTGGGCAGCGTCCATGTCAAAGTGACAGCGAAGGAGCCTGGAACGATGGTGTCCTTTGGAAAACGCGTCTGGAGGGGGTTGATTACAGGTGGAGCTCCTGACCTGAAGTACCTGTAAACAAAAGAGAAGGCTACATTTGAAGGCTCGCCCTGGACAGATTTCTTTCCTAAGACCAAATGCTGTTGTTTTCAATCAATTATGTTTCATTTACAATGCAAATTAGGAGTCTTCTCATTAGGGCTGGCACAAAATAAAATAAATGTGTTTTCAAACACACTGCTAGCCTGTAAAACAGGTAATCCTTCCCCAAATTTACACTATTGAATAGGATGACATTAAAGGGTCAAGAAACACCAAAATGCAAGTTTAAAAACACTAATAAGACACAAATATTTCACTAAATAGTGTTTGTTTTTCCATTGTTTAGAGAAAAATTGTTCTTCCAGATTGAAAAGAAATTTTAAAGCAACGTTGCAGTGATAAGATCATTGTGTAAATTCCAGTATGGAGACTGGATGTCTGTAGCGGCCGGTACATTGAGCATTTAGCATAAATTCATGAAAAAGACTTGGTTCGACCCAAACAGCGCTGTATTGTGAATGAGAAGAAACTTTATTAATATGCATGATATAGCATCGAAGACTATTTTTACCTGTTACAGTGTTCCAAGAGATGCCACATTGTGTTGGCAAACATAATTAGAACAAGTGAAAGAAGAAGAAGAATAGTTCGGAGACATGGGTCATTTGTGTTCTGTTTTTAAATGTACCTAACAAAAGTTTTGTTTCTATTTCCCATATGATTAGAGCACAGCTGGCGTGTGAACCCACATGTGTGGATTACCATGGTCTGCTAACACATGACAAAAATATGTTTGTAAGGAACATTTTTTACTCAAGACATTTTCGCATCTGGAAACGGTGAAATCTGGATTTGCCACTCATCTTCTTTTTTTAAAAAAAAAGACATGGTTTAAGTTCGTGTTGATTATCGTGTCTTTACAGATTTGGTAAGTGTGTGATAAGTGTTCTTTGTTTATGTTTATTCAGATGGCAAAGTTGGTTAGTATTATCAACAGTACTCTATCAGTTTTTAAAGACATACCTTAGTCAAAATTATTTAATTACTAAGTTTACAGTAATATCACTACAATATTCGGATAGCAAAGTTAGATTGTATTTTTAAGTTAGATTCTATTTGGTTTTACTAGTAGCAATGATGCATACATGTACCATCTATCTGACATTACCATAAACAGAGGCATCAAATGTAGAGTACAACCCCAAATCAGCAGCTCACAAGAAAAATACCTAAAGACGCTCTATTTAAGAATGTTTACGTATCAGTCACTTTTTATGCCAATAAAAAATGTTGACCAAATTATGCCATACACATGCTAGCAACATGATAATTTATTTTAAATGTAAGCCAAGCGAAAGCCATACTACTATGCTAATTTATTAAATTGCAATTTGCTCACAATATGCTAATTCATGCAAGAAACATGAAAATGTATTATAGTACCATGCTTGCCATGTGCTTATTCATTCTAGTAACATGCTAGCAAAATTCTAATGCATGCTGAAAAAATGCTAGCAACATACTAATTCACACTAAAATATGTCAACCTGTGCTGCCAGATTCTCATCATGCTCATGCCAGAAACACTGGTGCGTGAGCTTGAACAAGACTAACAAGACTGTAATAATTGAATGAAAAAGATGCACATTTGTAACTGAACAGAAGCTCACCTAGCCAAGCTCGGAGTGGAACAATCATTGATGTTCAGTACATCTTTAAACTGGAAATAACTCTTATTGAAAACAACTGTTCTCTGGTTTTGTAATCCGTGTGAAATTAGTACAATGTACAGTCTGAACTAAAAATATGTCAACCTGTGCTGCCAGATTCTCATTATTCTCAGGCCAGAAACATCTAAGCAAACAGGCTAAATTTACTGACAATGTGTTAATGTCATATTTGAACTATCTAAGTACATGGTAAAAAGAACACAGGGCAGGTGCACATAGGGTGTCTGAATCAACTATTTTGCTAGTTTATAATTGTGAAAATGGTTGACATGCTCGGCGCATAGTCTAAAAGTGCTGTAGCTATTCTCTAAATCAAAAAAGAATGATAGTGTTTTGGCCATAATCTATGGCTATGGCTTTCCCGGCCATGGTCACTTCTCTGTTTACACTACAGAACTTCCAAACCTAAAGGCTTTTCAGGAAAGGAAGCTGATCTGCTTGTGTGCTAGAGTAAAACTGGCATTTTAAAAGCTATATATATATATTTTTTAAATGTAATAATATAATCTTTCACCTTTAATTTTTGGCATGTTTGTGTTCTGCTTCACATTCCTGAGTGCAATAAGCAAAGAGTCCTGTATGCTCAGCGTCACATTGTCAACCCCTCTATATGTGTAATGAAACTTGAAGTAATGTGTTATTTTAATGAGTTATTTTGTTAGCTTGTATTATTTTGTAAACTATTTGATTGTATTTGGATGAATTAAGTTATAGTTGGGAACTTTAATTATGACACAGAGATTATGGAGTAATAGGCGTGAAGCAAAGCACGCCAGCCATGAAATGCTAGGTGAAACATGCCAGGCACGGACACGGGCACACGGCTGCTTCACAGATTTATGAGTTTTAACTTCTGGTTTAAGGGAAAATAAGGTAATTTTCATTCATTGATTTTTTTTCATCCGCTTTTCCGGGGCCAGGTCACAGGGGCAGCAGTCTTAAAAGAAAATTTCAGACGTCCCTCTTCGCAGACACTTTCTCCAGCTTCTTCAGAGGTGTCCCGAGGTGTTACTAGGTCAGCTGAGAGGCATAGTCCCTCCAGCGTGTACTGGGTCTTCCCCTAGACCTCCACAAGGTGGTAGATGCCTGGAACACCTTCCTACTTGGGTGTCCAGGAGGCATCCAAAACAGATGCCCGAGCCACCTCAGCTGATTTCTCTCGATATGGAGCAGCAGCTCTACTCCAAGCTCCTTCCAGGGGACAGAGCTCCTCACCCTACCTATGAGGGTGCACCTTGCCACCCTGCAAAGGAAACTTGACCACTTGTATCCGAGATCGAGGTTGATAGGTTGGAGTAGGAACGTAAATTGACCGGTAAATCGAGATCTTTGCCCTTTGACTCAGCTCCTTCTTTACCGCAACACACCGATACTCCGACTGCATCACCACTGCCACTGCACCAAACCGCCTGTCAATCTTACATTCCATCCTTCCTGCACTCATGAACAAAACCCCAAGATACTTGAACTTCTTCATCTGGGGTAAGGACTTTCCTCCGACCTGGAAATGGCAAACCACTCTTGTCCAATGGAGCACCATGGCCTCGGATTTGGAGGTGCTATTTCTCATCCCAGCCGCGTCACACTCGGCAGGTCCATGTTTCATGAAGCCAACAGAACAATATTGTCTGTGTATCACAGAGATGAAATCCAGTTGTCCCCAAACTGGACCTCCTCCAGCCCAAATCTCTGCTTTGAAATTCTGTCCATAAAAATTATGAACAGAATTGGTGACAAGGGGCAACCCTGCCGGAGTCCAACATGCACTAGAAACAAATCTGACGTAATGCTGGCAATGTAAACCAAACTTCTACACTGTTCATACAGGGGGACAAGACTGCCCTTAAAAGAGCGCCTCTGACCCCATACTGCCAGAGCACATTTCACAGAGTGCCACAAGGTACATGGTTGAATGACTTCTCCCAAGTCCACAAAACACATGTGGACTGGTTGGGCATACTCCTATAAACCCTTGAGCACCCTGGTGAGGGTGTAGAGCTGATCCAGTGATACCACGGCCTGGGCGAAACTGCATTGTTCCTCCTGGATCCTAGGTTCAACCATCGGCCGGAACCTCCTCTACAGTACCCTGGCATAATAATAAGGTCATTTTGATTTATTTAATTTGTTTAAGATTAATGATTTATTTTAAATTTGATGTTGGTTTAGTGTTTCAACTTTCAGGATTAATTTGTGTTTGTTTGTTTGTGTGTTTGTTTGTTTGTTTTCTGTCTAGTTCTTACGGTGATTTATGATGCTATATTGTGTAATAGTTCTATGGAAATAGATTTCACATAAACATCCAGTCTCTAGTGTGTTATGTGTGCACATTTGCAAGCACAAGCAATAAATTGCAGATTGCAGTTGTAACAGTAACTGTCACCAGTGTCAACAATAGCAAAGCTTACATAAAGAGCCCCTAATTTGTATTATAAAAGGTCATATTTTGGTTTTGGGGGTCTCCAACAACAGGCTGATATGCATGAAAGGTCAAAAACACTTTGATTGTCTAATAATATGCATTTATTTCCAACGACTCCCATATGATCTGTTCAACAATTCATTTGTTTTCAAACCTCTCCTTTGTGTGAGGCTAATCTGCGCTGATTAGTCCGATGACCAACGCTGTTGTGATTAGTTGACTGGGTTCAGCACAAGACGGAGAGAAACGCCCAACATTGCTATAAAGTAGCACAGAGTATGTGAGAACCCAATGTAGGAATGCAATAAAGCAATGCAGTTAAACACCAGCATAATACGCTAGTAATAAGTAATACCAACGACACACATTCAGTATTAATCAACACAGTCGTAAAAGTTAAGAATTTAGAAGTTAAAAATTGACCACGCTGCGCATGTGTAGGAACAGCTAAAGGTGGCCATAGCAAAGACAAATAAAGACAAATTATACATATAAGTAGTAACAGTAACAGTAACAGTAGTCTAAAACTTGACAAACAAATAAGTAAAACAGTAACTTCAAGTTTTTATCATCCACGACGACTAGCCCAAGTAAAAACCCTTCCTATACAGGAAGGGATTTGAAAAGACTATTCATTCTTTTATTTCCATATGATTAGATTATTGTAATGCTTTATATATTGGTCTACCTTCATCTTCTATTTCTAGGCTTCAAATAATTCAAAATGCAAACGCCTGTTTTCTCAGGAGTAGCCACAAATATGACCCATCACACCAATATTGCAGTCACAACATTGGTTGCCGGTTCATTTCCAAATGGACTATAAAATTTTGCTCTTTGTTTATAAAACCTTGTATAACCTAGCACCACTGTATCTT